ACAGCGATTAGTTTTCTCGAATGAAACAAGTATTTTCGAAATTTTAAACTTCATTTATCAATTGCACAAAGAATTTGAACCTCACAATCAGCAGTTAACAACGAAACGCAATGCAGAAAGATATTCGTTAGCGATGAGAAGTCCATCAACGAACTCGTTTATGCCCTCAATTACACTCCTGACAGTCCCAAATTAGCAGGCGGATTTAATTTGTCCCTTAATGAGGAACATTTTATTAACGATTAGAAACAGTCCAATTGCGAAATTATAACAGCTCACATTTGCATCGATGAAACGACGTATGCGTTTGCAAAAGTGCAAAAGGATTGCAAAGTTTTATCTGCTACGATTGGTTGCTACGTCATCATTTGTTGTAATAAATAATCATTTAAAGTAGTAATAATCACCGTCAGTGAACTGGCCATATTCGAGACTGGAGCGGTATTCAGGAGGCCAGAAAGGAAAATTGCTATATCTCAACATTTCCTCAAATGCTTTGTCGATCGATGTTCTTGTTAAATTATTCGCATCCTCCGTTTCATTTTGACAGTTCGCATCAAGTTTTCTTTTATGCGTTCCTACTTGATCATTTGATGATCTTGTATTAAATCAGTGGAAAGTTTCACAAACTTGTCATCTATGGGAGACCTTTTCTGCGATTTTGCAAGTGTAATGATTAATTGCTACTGTAATAAATCTTTGTTCTAAGGAATAACTAACAAGAAGAAGACGCAATGACTAAATCGATGAACGAGTGGAACGATAAGGGCAATTTTTGGTGNAACTAACAAGAAGAAGACGCAATGACTAAATCGATGAACGAGTGGAACGATAAGGGCAATTTTTGGTGTTCTGCTCGCTCAAAGGCAATTTCTCGAAAACGAACCACATTGTCAGCATTCATTCAATGCTGGCTTATTTTGCTACTGCTGTTGTGCCCCATCCGAACTGCTCGCATACTCAATTTCATCAACATTTTGCTATTGCTAGACGCTATCAACCATTTGGTTTCATTTTCCCCATATACGTAGTGAAAACTTTTCTTAGTTGTTAGTATGTTCGCGTTTGCTGGAGTCATTATAAAATGTTCCTCGCTTGAATATACTCATGAGCAAATAAATATTGCTCAGCAGACACATGAGATGATTTATTCTGTCCATTTTAGTGATGATTGTGTTCCACATTTTATGCCAAACTGTCCTATTCCGTCCCTCAGTTGTTCTGTTCCGTTCTGCTCTTCGAGTCCTTTCTTTGGAACATTTTTATTCTTTATCTTGGTCTACAACACTCTGACCGAACGAGGAACATCACTACTCTAGACGATCACAGTGCAGTCGTTAATAGATCAGATCATCTTCAATCTATCTTCCATTGCTGCTGCTGAACGTCTAGAGA